TGGACCCCTCACATCCAGCACACTCCCTCTTTGAACTGTTGCCACGACAGACAGTACATTTATATTATTATTTTTATTATCTGTGTCCTGTCTTGTCACTGTCATTCTGTTGCACTGTGGAACTTCTGTCACTAAAACAAATTCCTCGTATGTGTAAACATACCTGGCAATAAAGCTCATTCTGATTCTGATTTTGGGTGAATATAATAGCTGCATTTCCATTACCCTTCAAATTGCTCAAATTGAAATTGCGAAATGAAAATACAGTCACATGGCGTACGTAAAAAGTCATATGATCATTCCTTAATGTACTATAACCTCCAAGAAACACTTCATATGTGGCCGCTCTCAAGTATAAAGGGCTTTCCCTGCCATTAATGCTTAGACTACTTACACCCCATTCATACGGGGCGTCTGCATCAAGGACTCTCTGTTTACTTTGAATGGAGTGACATCAAGCGTTGCCGAAATGAATTGTGGGTCCGTCGCGTCGCGTTGGGTCCGTTGCTCACGGCAGAAGTTGAAAACTTTTCAAGCGCCAACACAGGCGTCAATCAGATCGCCTTATGCAAATACCTTGGTGCAGACGCTAGCCAATTGTGTTCATACAACACCAGAAAACTAATGTGATTGGCTGATGTCACATAGTAGTCACTATGACGGTCGCGTCAGCACCAAGCTTCAGAAACGCCCTCTGTCAAGTGGCCGCAGACGTGTGCAGTGCTGGAGCTGATCGCGGCCACTCGTCAATGTTTGTGTTACCAGTCACGCCACGGCACGTCCCAGAAGCTGCTCTCCGCGCTGATCGCATATGCCTCCTTCGATTAAATATAATGGCTAGTGAAGCCAAAATCCGTCAAAATCCCATCAAAATCCGTTGCCATGACTTATCGCGAGAGGAAAAAAATACGTTTTAGTTGCATAACATAGGTTAATGGGAACACCGTCATTTCGCAATACTTTTTAAATCGATATTTATAAAATATCGATAAAGTTTTGCTCAAATCTGTAATGGAAACGCGCGTACTCTTGTCACTGAAAAACACACATTAGTTATGTACAGAACAATATGTGTACTGAATGTTAACATTGACATTAATGTTATTTAATGTGTAACCGTGCAGTAAATGAATAGATAACAACTGTGCAAACACCGCCACCTCAGGCCAGTTCTGTCTTTTTTTTTTATTACAAAACTTGTAGAAAAATACAGAAACAGGGAAGCAAGACATGAATATATTCCAACAAAAAGCAATTATAAAAGTAAGAACAGAAAACAAATATTATGGATTTGCATGTCAAATTGAGTATTGGCCAGTTCTGTCTTTGTTTAGGCTCAGTGCCAGAAGAGGCGTCACCAGTGCACACTGTACTTCTCTAAACCTCTGACACTTCAACAGACATCAGAGCTGCAGTGGAGATTCACTAGTTTCAGATCATCACAAGGTAATGACACTGTTATCTTTATTTGTGTAGTAGATGAAAGCGTTTTATTATTAATTCTGGACATAAATCTAATGTTTGTGTTATAATGAAACTAAACTTAATGTATTTATTTATTTTCCCAAGAGATAATGAAAAGTAGTTTAAGAGAAATTAATTCATGGCAGAAGATCTGTGCAGCATCACAAACTGCAAGAGAATTAAACCGAGAGGAAAAGAAAAATGGCAAACAAAGTGGACGAGATACAATGTAATGAACCAGGAGAGAAAAAGATCCTGAGACGAGTCAGACACAACAGTATTAATAGTGGAAGACCAAACTGTGAGTGTTTATGATATTAAAGATAAAAACACTTATTTTATCAACATATAATGCAATTGCATCTTCTCTGCTGTCTGAATGTAAAATCAACCCTAAACTTTACTCTTTATCCACTATATAAAAACTATGAGGATAATCAGATGATTGTGTTTCTAATGTCTAGTTTGTGATGATGCAGACAGTTTTATTCTGACTGACTCTCAGATGAGGTGAGATTCTCACTGATCTTATACAGACTAGATAGAATCAATTCTCTTACTCTGTATGTGTACTGTATATACTGTATAATGTCAGTTACTGTATGTGTGTTATAGTTCTGAGAGAGTGTTTTCTCTTCAGACAGGAGCAGCACCTTTCACCGGACCAGCAGAATAAATTTTATATTCAGTATCTAACTAAACACTGCTTTTTTTTAGATTGGTTGTTGTATTTTTGTGTTACTTTATATTCAAAATATTATGAACCTATATAACAAACCAATATCAACTAATATCAATTTCAATCATTGTACAAAATATTTTTCAAAACTAACAACTGGAGTATTATCTGAAATACTGTTGTTGAAATTTCCTAGCAATTTGTTTTACTGTATGATGCTATACATATTACAAATAAAAAATATTTCTGTAAATGTTTCTAAAATTACAATATTTCATAGTGACAAAAATATGTATATTTTATAAAACTAATTTTATGATTTTTACTGCAATAAATCTGTACATACTTGTAAAAAATACAAATATTTTTCTCTTCAATATTTTGATTTTGTTGTATAATCTCTTTTAATGGTCAAAGACAAGTGAGGGGGAGAAATGTGTTTAAATTGATTAGTCCTTTTTACTTATTTGATTCATCACATGCTGAATAGGGATTTTGGAAAACTGGGTGATTCTGAAATGCAGGTGGTGGTATGAGTCACTGAGGATTCACTCAGAAAGTCCAGGGTTTTTCTCTAACATACCAGTATTAAATTGTGTCATGTATGATCTCAGAGTTATTCCCTAAGAACAGAAGACAGAATGAAAGGCTGCGTCACAGAATAATATTAGAATTCACATCTGAGCAGGACTGACGGCACACACTCGTGAAAATAAGATGAGAATCAGAGAGAGATTTACAGACAAAAATACAGACACGTCACAGCATCGCTCTCTTCAGCAGATCAACAGCTGAGAGATCACATGAACTTTATGCTTTATGCTCTGCTTTAGCAGAGTCTTTAATTATTTATTTATTTGGAGTTGTCTGATAAAGACAAAAGTGAATGCAAAAATCTGAAATGCTGTTTGAAAACATGTAAGACAAGATCAAACTGAAAATAAAATTTTATTTTGGTTTCAAAATTGCATTGCTACGGCCGTGACGTCCCGAGTTCGAATCCTGACTCGAAGACCTCTCTCCCGCTTCGCTTCCTGTAAGCTTTGATCTGTCCTATCATAATAAAAAGGCAAAAAATATACCAAAAATAAATCTTTATATAATTAATTATATAATTATGATTGATTATACATCTATCTGCACATTAGCATCAGGAATACTGTTACTATGAGTGTTCATATAATATGAATCACCCTTTCCTGCACTCAATTCAGATGTGCAGATCAGAGAACTCAACTAGACTGAATTTTAATCTGTGCATCAAATCATATTCATTAAATGTAAATCACTTTTAAAAAGATGGACAGGGCTGATTACATAAAATTGCTTTAAGCCTTCTACAAACTCCATGATTTTAGTAATCCTATAAGATCGTTGCTGGTCACAATGTGTGTCATGGATCTAATAAACTTGGGTACGACATGCATGTAGACTGTACGATGATGACACATTGAGTCGTACGCTACGACGCACGTTACTATAGAAGAGTAAAACGTTATCTTAGCTTAAGACTTCTCTCTATTCCTTAGTAAAAGTTTGTTTCAGCAGCTTTGTGAATAGGTTTTAAGAGAAAACGCTTAGCTAAAAACTTTTACTGCTATTTAGGAGAACTCTTAGAGGTGAGATCAAATGTTTTGTGAATACGGGCCCAGATCTGATCGTCATCAGTCTGTCTGAGATTACATGAAGAAACAGAACAAACTGAGACAGACTCAGTCCAGAAGAACTGTGGCAACATCTCCAAGACGCTTCAAGGCATCAACCTACCTGCAAAGCTACAGTACAGTTAAAAGTTTTAGGCACTTGTGTAAAAATGCTGTCAAAAATAATGTCATAAATGTTT